GGAGCTCCTTAGCTCTCAATATGTGTTTAACCACATCACTGAAGTTTGAATTGAGTGTGAGAAGAAGACCAAAGACCTTGTCTTGCTCACGCCTCTCCTCAAGAGTGTTGGGATCATTAGTGTTTGGCCTTAGCATTTCCAATTCCGACCATAGCTGACTATACTTCCCAAGATGCTTGGTGAAGTCACTCTCCTCTTGTTGCAAATTGTTGATGGCTCTCTTAACTTCAAAGATTCTGGTCAGATTTGAAGTATTGCCATACACCTTTTTCAAGGTATCCCACAACTGTTTTGGAGTTTCACATTGTGAGTAAGAGTCCATGATAGGACCATCAAGAGAGCTTTGCAAGATAGACAGCACCATGAGGTCTTCCTGATCCCATTTGCCTTCATCTACCACTACAATGTCCTTGCCATCTTCTCCTTGGGTGATTTGCCTTGGTGCAGAACTTGAGGTGATATGCTCCCAAAGACCTCTTCCTCCAAGGGCTGTTTTGGCCAATCTAGACCAAGTGATGTAATTTTCTCCTCCCTTGAGAACAACAGGAATCTTGACTTGTATGAATTGATTCATCTTCAGAGATTATTACCCACTGGTTACACAAAGAAACTAAGGAAAAATAATCACTGAAATTTTACAACTCAAGAACACAGATTTCTTAATTCCAAAATAAAGTAGATCTGGAAAGAAAAAAGAATGAGTAGATTGATGAATCAAATAGAAGAGAATATCAGAGTTAAATCGCGGAAGCAAAATGAGTACACAAGAGCTTATAGCTCTGATACCATGTTAGAAAGTGAAACTTTGAGAATGAAGAACAAGAGAGAGATGAGAGAAAAGAGTAAAGAAAGAGAAACTTTTTCCTTAGATCTGAAAAGTAACGTTACAATGAGTTATAAAGAAAGAGAATAATCTTATTCTAGTAACCAAACACCCTTGACTTACTAGAGAAGCTAGAATACATAACTAAATTATTTATTTATTTAACTCAATATCTGTAACTATCCCATTCTTACCAAGTGTTTTTTTCCTCGTACGTACATCTTTTGTACTAAACGCCTACACGAGTTTAAGGAGAGTATTAGTATCCACTGTGATGAAGTAGCCCGTGCTTGTGAAGCCTTGGCGATTCCGGTTTGACAATGAAATTCCTTGCACCTTTACATGTATTGTCCTGTCACCTCTTCTCCTTAATTATCATTGCTCACATGATAGTTATATCATCGCATTGTGTGTTATATTGAGCAGAGTGGTGACAAGTTTGGTGAAAGGGAGGGTATCAGATTATCAGGAACGCTAAATTTACTTCTATTGTGTTTTTTTGTTTGTTTGTAAAACACTTCTGTTGTTTCTTTAAACCTCCAAATCAAGAGGTTAAGTAATTCTCATTAAGCCTTTTAGTCTACTGATTTGGATGTTTTAGTCAGCCAATTTAAGTGGTAAAAGGAACAATTGTGTGGGTGTGGCTTGACAACAAGTATAGTCTTGTTCGTATCCCGTCTCACGTACGCTCTCAATTGCACACTGTCCTAAACTTAACGTGTCTATTTAAAGTCCTTATATATAAAATAATATATAGTGAGATAATACAACTTTGGATGACGTTGACAGAAAAAAAAAAAAAAATGCCAAGTGCTAATCTTGGATTTCTCCCGCCGTTACAGGCCAACGAACTACGCGTAAGCAACTGAAGAATTGGAACATGAGAAAATAAATGATTAGAATTTCTTTAAAAAATATTCAGATTTAATAAACATCCAAATATATACACAATGCGATGAATTTCTTAGTAATTGAAATACTTTATATAGCAGAAACAAGTTATAGAGATTTAAAGTCTTTTAAAAAGAAAGTTCATTACCCTTTTTTTTGTCAAAGTGTTTATTACATTTCTGAACTCAAATATATTTAATTCTTGTGGCTAAGAGCATGTCCATCAATAAGAACCCTTTAGGGGTACTAATCTATAAATTAGTAATATATATAGTGATTTGATATTTTGAGAACCTTTGTTTAACTAATTTTTATTTTCATCCTCCAATGATAGAACCTCACTGAGGTTCTTAAAAAAAAAAAAAAATTTATTGGATTTCATATTATAGAAAACGTACATAAAAATTTTAACAAAAATGAGATCAAAACATCTTAAAATACAAATACAAATGGTAAAAGAGAAAAAAACCGATGAACTTGGGTAGTCTTCAGACGCCAAATGAAAACAAAATAACACAACCAATGAGCAGAACTTGGATGTATGTAATGTACATCACCTTTCGAACGCACTCAAATTTGTCTGGATCAAAACAATCATATGTTCCTGTTTCATAGCCAGAAGTAAAAAAAAAACCTGGACTAAAAGTTTTACTCTTATTATTATTCAAGGAAACAAAGGAGAGTTATCACTTCTCAACAAAAGATTTGACATCCTTGAGCATTGAAGATACTCTCTGTTATCTTTGTTGGCCACGTAATCAGCGAGAAAGTCAGTGAAGCTCGGCTTGATCCCTCTGATCTCCAAGAACCTGTGGAAAGCCTTCTGCAGATTCTCATCCAAGTCACTCCATAACACCCAAAAAGTCAAATCACATGACGATAAGATAACAACTACGAGAGCAAATCAAAGCACTGAGTTTAGAAACAAACCTTTGATCTTAGCAAATATGCTCGTAAACGTTATAGACGCATAACTGTTACTTCTGTATGTACAATGATAAAGAGCAATTAACATATGTAAGTAAGAAATCTGAAACAATTATTCAGCAGGAGAAAGAAAGAAGCTTACTTACAGCAAACCTTAGAAGCAAGCAGGATTTTCCAACACCAGAGTCACCAATAAGCAAAAGCAAGCAGAATGAGATCGAATGTATTATTATCCTTTGTCACAGCCTCCTCGAATGGCTCTGTTTTTTTTGTGTCACATGCTTTGTTTCTTCTTGTGACCTTGCCTCCACCTGCAAAAGGAAGAGCAGCAACAATGTTACACATAATAAAGAAGGAAGAGCAGCAACACATAATATATGCTAAGTTTTGAGTTGACGGACACAATTGGTACGATCACAGGGCAACCAAAACAAGTCACTTCCGGTGTCTAAAGCAATCAGAAACCAATCAGACGGCGTCCCAGACCGTCACATTCGCGTAATGCAAACTGTACAAAAACAACAATCCCAACATAAACATCTCCAAAAATTTGAAACCGAATTCGCCAAAGCTCTGAGCTTTATCCAAAACCCAACTAGAAATCACCATAATAATCAGATCGACTGAGTACAAAACCATGATGGGTTCTTCACAACTCCGCCGAGATCTCGGAAACTTTCTTAAAGAAAAAAGTCGAAACTTTCAGCAGGAAGGATGGATCATGAAGTGACAGCGAAAGAGATCAAAAGGGAGTGATGAAAGTTTTGATACAGGAATTAGGCAGGAAGGAAGGATTGTGGAGGAGAAAGCTGCCACGTATGGAGTTCTTAGTTTTTCTCAAACTCCTCATTTAGAGAGCGGTTCTGTCTAATTTACCGTTTTTCATTTATTTTTTTGCCTTTTTTTTAAAGAACCTATGTTAAAGACCTCCGATGGAGGTGGTCTTAAGTTCACAAATCTAGCCCAATACAATTTTCATAGGTGCATGTGATTAGTGTAGCCCGATTGGGACCCTTAATTAAGAGTCCAAATAGTGGATTTCAACCCTCTTTTTGGGAGAGGTCAAAAGTCATCATGCACTGTACATGTTTTGTTTAGTGCAACAAATCTATTGCGAAAGTCACAAGTTATCAACCTCCCCAAAAGCAGATGTTTTCTTCTTTTATGACTCATGAACAGGCTGCTTATCCTCAGAATGTAATCATCAACATGCACTAGTCCTCTACTAAATCCCTAGTTCAAAAAAAAAAAAAAAAACCAACCAACCAACCACTGATTTGCAAAGATTGGTGAAGCTATTTCAATATTACGCACATAACCAAAAAGGCAATCTTCTTCTACAATGTATTAACAAAACAATCATCTGATAACCAACCAACAAATGCTCCTTTCGGGTTTCAAGTCTCAGACTTGCACATTACTCGCTTTTTACCAATACGCCATTTGCCAAATCCTTTGAATAGCTATCAATCTCTCTCTCTCTCTCTCTCTCTCTCTCTCTCTCTCTTGTATAGTACTGCTCAGTTATATGTATACGATTCTGTTTCATTTACCTATGGTCATTTGACCAGCTTGAAGGAGGACTTGTTGTTGGGTTTGCAAGCAGCGGCCATGAGCTTCTCTTGCTCGGATAGTGAGTGGCGGAAGTGGCAACGGTGGCCATAAGGACAGATGTCACCAGCAAGTACCATTCTGCAAACCTCAGTCTTGTAACGAGGATGGCGGATGACTGGGCGGAGTTCTTTGATTCCATGAGCGAATTGGCAGTGGTCACCGTATGGGCATGTCCCTGTCTCTTGCCACTTGTTACAGAGCTCTGTCTTTGTCATCCCTTGGTTGTACACCTCCACTTCTATCTCCTCCTCCTCCTCCTCTTCTTTCTTCCCTCCCCCTCGTACATATACCTTTTGCTGCATTTCCATTTAATTCATTCACACCATTAAGTCTTCACATGTTTAGTTCAAAGAATGCAGATGACTAGTGTGGTATCATATACGTAGCTCAGATTCAACAGTTAAACAAGTCTATAGTGTCTCAATGATTACTTATTTCCCAAAACACTAAAGCCAAAATCGTTCATTTATACACTATCACAAAACTTTTTTCCTGCATTTCATTCAACCATGCATGTGGCCCATTAGTTACTACTCGTTAGTCATATAGTTCAAAGAAAGCAGAGTAACAGAGGATTGTGGTACCATAACAAGAATCATGTAGATTCTACAATAGTTATGCAAAGACTAGTGTCTCTAACTAAAACTAAAACCAAAATTGTTCATATCGACTCTAACTAAAGCCTCGTCTCAGATAAACTCTTGTCCTGCATTTCATTCAATCATGACCCTTCATTCATACATACTAAGCAGAGTAGTAGAGGACTCATACGAGGAATCAGATTCAACAGTAATGCAAAGTCTATAGTGTTCAATGGTATTCTCATGTATTACATACTGTTTCCTGCATTTCATTCATTCATTCATGGCTCTTCATTTATCAATACAGTTCTTGTTTTGATTACCTCTCCAGCTCAACAATCTAAATCTAAACTTTAGTTGAATGGAGTGTTTCTCAAAAGAAACACCAACAAGAAACTCAAAGAATGCAGATGGTAATCACATATGTTAGGTCAAGTACTCAAATTGATTCCGATAATCAAACTCTAACTCTCACAGTAATCAAGAAAACCAAAAAAAAAGAAGTAGTTACCGTGGTAGAGAGTTGCTGGTCCCCACAAGTCCCAGGCTTAGTTATGGTGACGGCACCATAACCGCCAGCTCCTCCTTGACTCGCCTTCGAGTAACCGCTCGATCTCACCGAGATGCTCTTCGGCAGCGAAGAGCGGTTCACATCCTCACTCGCGATCACGCTCGTCGGACTCTCATCGCTGACGTCACCATCTCGATTCTGATCCGCCTCGGGGTTACGATTCTCGTTATTCCCTCCGACGGAAAGATTGCGAAGCGGAGCCCTGTCGTAACCGAGACGGTTGCGGAGAGAGGATGATCGGATGAGGTGGTCAAGCTCTTTCTTGAGGTGGAGGTTCAGCGATCCGAGCTCGGTGTTCTCTAGACGGAGTGCTTCCGCTTCCAGAGATGCCTCGTGGAGGCGCGTGTAACACAGTGCCTCTCGATTCACCATATCTTGGCGGCGCTGCTGCGTGACGTTGCGAGTGGAGTAGTAGAGTTGATCACAGGACGGTTCTCCGTGAGAGTTCATGATCCCAGTGGCTCCGGCGCTGTAAGTGAACGGCGCGATTTCGTTTTCCATTGTTCTGTTCCACAATCACGGAAAAAAAAAAAGAATAAATCAGATCTTGTTTTCGAGAGGGAAAATCAAATTCATATGAACGGAATCAAGATAATAAAAAGAAAAGCGGAGACAAGATCTACCTGGAAGTCGAGAAGCTGGTGAGCTACCGAGAGAATGGAGAGAAACTGCCGAGAAAATTGAGAGGAAACTTTCTTGCGGGAGAGAGAGAGAGAGATCGAGTTAAGCAGAGAAAGTATCTCGAGAAAGAAAGGCTAAAGAGTATTTATATACACGAGGAAGTTGGAGGGAAACTATATATGTACGCATTTATAATTAATTAATTAATGAATAAATGTAGGGGTTGTTAGAAGTAATTAACAGAAAGAGATGCTTCTGGTAAAAATTAACACTTCTTAGAATTTTAATCTATACTCTTGGTCAGCTATACCACTGTAGTTTGTTTGACCATTGCATGCAAATTATTTGATAATCATATAGATTTTGGATGTATGAGAAAGTGGTGGTTAAATGTCTATTTTCTGCACTTTTCTTCATTCTTAGAGTTTGATTCCAATAAGTAGCGTTCTATGAAAACATATCAGCAAACTGTTGACAAAAAAAAATACTGGATGTAGATAGTAAGAGAAATGTGTTCTTTGTGGCAATGATAGCAGCTGAAAATACTAATAACCTAGGGCCAGTTATGGTTAGTGAATCATTTGTTTCAACACATTGCTTGATTTTGAAGATTTTTAAGGGATAAGAATTTGCCTTTTCTTACAAAACTTGTAGAATAGTGGAACTTAAGCTATATAATTATTTCTGCATTTTAATTCGCTAATATATCAAACATACAAAGCTTAAACGGACAATTTTGCTTGTTTATCACAACTATTTAGTGGTCTTGTCAACTTTCATCAGAACAACAATTATTGGTTTTGGTAACACAAATGTCAATTTCATTGTCTGTTAAGTAAACTTTTGATTTGACATTACGGATAAAGTTAATTTCCGGTGAAATTTGGTGGAAACCAGTGATTACAAATTGGATGGGGAAAACAAATGATAAATAGGATCCCAGCTTAACTTACAGTTGCATGCAAGGAAACTGAATCATGTAAAATAGATATAGATTAGTGTCTTATGTACAAAAGCATGGTACTGAAGAAAGATATGCAATTCAACCGCGTTGATCTTCCTTTTTTTGAGACCATACTAAGCTTGTTTCTCCTCTCTGTATCAAGGAAATGAAACTTACATTACAACAAATTAGGTCTACCTTTAGTTAGAAGATTGTCTCTGTAAATACTTACGTTCTTGCTCTCTTCTTCTCCTTGAGCCTTGTTATAGCGTTTTGACGTGCATTGTTAGAGAGATGGGAGCAAAATGAGATTACTTCCTCTGAGTGGTTGTGAGAGTAATGTGTACTTCCTCCACCGTTGGATCTTGAGAATGGAAGAGATGGGGAAGCTGGTTTGGGTGCAACTATGGAAGGTGAAGAAGAGACCTTAGGTTATAACAAGAAAACATAAGTTATAATAATCAGTGTTAAGTACCAAAATAATTCTCTAGAATAGATGGAAAAAATTTCAACCTCACACGAGTTGTTGTCTGCTATTGGATCTGGATCATCTCCAAAAAGTTCTTCAAAGTTTCGAAAAGTGAGATCAATGTCAGGTATATGGAAGTCATCGTCATCACAAACTGTCTCTTCACAAACTCCAATGTCTTGTAGGTTTTGATACCACAACTACAAAAACAGAACTAAATCATGTAAGCAATATGTATGATACTGCATCAAAAGTATGTTATTTCAACCAAAACCTGATTGTTCTTATTAAATGGGATTTTGCATTCCCAAAAGGAATCACCAAGTGTGGAAGATGAAGACAAGTGTGAAAAGTCTACAATCAGCTCTTTTCCTGTCTGAGGAAGATCAAGTAAACATTCTTCATATTGTTTCGGAAGCTCTAATTGAGATGGATCATTATGTTCTGTCAATGACAAGTCCTTATTCTCTTCCCTGAGCTGAAGCTTCTCCAATTCAAGAATCTGTTCCAAGATAAAACCAGCTTCTCTTTGCACCTAAAAACCATCAAAATCATCTGTACATCAACTAAAAAGATCTATTCATAAAAAAAAACTCCAAAAATATATACAAAAACAAGCATCAAACCTTAGGTTTAACCATCACAAAAGACTTCTCCAACGAAACATCGTTATCCATAACTCGAAAACCCCACATAACCGCGAAATCTTTAGCAGAAGGACACCTCGTATAACACCTCACATCGTGTCTAACATGCTTAGAGGAGACAACACCATGGATCTTGTCATTACATCCGTTACAAAGAAACATCTTGTGGTCCAAACATCGAACAACACAAGGCTGATTCTTACAAAAACCACATAAAAGTGTGCGTAAATGTCTTCCCGAGAGTGCATTAGCTGAATGAACCTTTGCATCACATGTTAGACACAGATTCGCTGCATCTGCTATACAATAAACAACTGCTCTATACGCTTTGCAAACCTCACATAATCTTTCCATCTTTTCAATTATTATTTACACAGAAAAAGTTGGATTCTTGAAAATATCCATAACTTTAGGGAATATTCGTCCCTGTTACATCAAAATATCAGATTTAATGCAAAACGTTAGGCAAAGATCACAGATCGAACACAGTTCATAGGCCAACCAAACTTACCGGTAAGAGAAGAAGCGTAGAGTTATGTGAGAGATTCGTGACACAGCTTTCTCTGTTTTAGAAACTTCCTATCTGATAAAAATCCGTGCGTTCGGTTTTTTTCTAATGTAATTGTTATGATGACGTGGATAAGACACGTAGGTTTTTTGTGGGACCTTTGAATTGGTGATTACGTTATCCATATGCACGTGAGATATGGGGAAGCCACGGACGTATGTTCCACTGGTGACAGCCTCGAGCCATCATCAAATCTCTAAGCTTACCTTTTCCTAACCAATAACTGAGAGCCACGTGTCAACCAGACCAAACAGGATATTTACTTCATTACCGGATCAGCCGTTGACTCCGTCATGTGTTCGTCAGCTCTTAAAGATATTAAAAGTGAATACACCAAATCGGATAAATCAAAATTTTCTTCTAACAACTCGGTTTAATTTAATTCGGTTTAGGTTGAGTTTCTTCGATTTGGTTTAGCTATATACTGGACAGAATCAAAATATGCTGAATCAAGCCGATGGAAAAAGAAGAATTCAGAAAACAAATGACAAAAAGGTCACAGATACAAGACCAGAGTCTTCAGCAGAGATCACTTCCATGTCCCGTGTTGATGTACAAACTCTAGTAAAGATGAATGGATTGACAATGCTTCACCGCCGAGTCCAATTAGATCCTGACTTGAATCCAAACGATCGATAATGAGCTTCACCAACATATCACAACAAAAGATGTGGACAGAATTGTTTATCAGTTTACCTGTTTTGTCATCTCTTTTTGGTGTGTACTTCAATCATATCATCGTCCTCCATCTCGAGGTTAGAAGGAGTAGTCGATGGATCGATCTTGTCACCGTCAAAAGTAAATACAAGATTTTGAGGGTCTAGCTTCTCTTTATCCGTATACATTTTGAAAACCCGCTCAAACTTCTCGTCCTACAAAAAGATAGTACCAAATAAACATCAGAAGCTAAAGTATATCGACAAAGATATGATCAGAACACTATACTACTCTATGTTTTCTTAGATGATATCCACTACAAATAGGGCTTTGCAGATCCTTAAAACTAAGCCTCTAAGACCCACTGATCTCTTTAACTCCCTATTCATTACTCATGCTTTCTCGAAAGCACAGTATGACTAGTTATCTGGATGTTAGTGGGGGTGAAGTAACACCCAACTCTCTCTTATGTCCACTTATTAACACATACAAAGTTCAGATAGTAACCTTTTTTTAACTGATAGGAAGGTTGGCTAATAAGTTGTAATCAGTGAAAAAACTTACCGCAAACACACGGAACTGCTTCTGTCCAGATTTGTCCTGTATCGTAATGACAATCTTGGCTCTATCATTAATAGGCCCTGGTGGTGCCTGAGCAGGAGTAGCCTCTGAGGAAGGTTTGAGTGATACTCGAGCTTGTTTTTTAGCAGACTCCTCCGCTTCCTGCATCACATCTACAACAGTCTTTGTGAATGACATAAGCTCCATCTTCTTCGACCTAAATTGCATATTCCAATTCAAAACTTAAGAATCAAAGTATAACAAATCAAAGTTTGCAGTGTCCAGCTTCTAATAGCAACAAGAGAAGTAGCCAGAGACAGACAAAACTACCTCAAAGCTTTAATGGTAGAATCTTCACCAGACTCTTTGCTTTTATCAAAGACAACCTTAGGCGGTGGAGGCAACCAATCGTCATCACACGCCACTTCAATTACTTTCACATCCTCATCTTTCTTTACAACCTATATAAAAGCAAATCTTAAATGTTTCAGAAAAAAAAAAAAAACAGTTTCAGCTCAAATATTACTAAGCCATACAAAGATTCAAGTTAAAATAAAGTTAATAATAGAACCAAAACTAAGAAGAAACTTAAACAGAATCAAAGCATACAACAGTTTCAGCTCTTAAAGATCCCTAACTACTCTGTTCTCCCTCTCCTCTTTTAATATACACAAAGAAAATCAATAATCCTTACTGTGTGGGAAGTCTTTGATCTCTTCTTAACAGGAACCTCCGAAACATCAGAATCATCATCATCATCTGCAATTAATTTCAAACCCGAGAAGAAGAATTCAATCTCCATATCCTCGCCCGCTGCGTCATCAAATCAATAAAACTATAACTCACCGTCAATGCAAATGAAATTCGATGGCTGAACACGGTGATAATCAAAGAGCGGCTCTAGATCCTCTCCTTCACCTCCCTGATTACAACACAATCAGAAACTCAGTAACAGAGTAGATTAGGGTTTCGAAATTAGGATATCGTGGAACAATAGAGTCTCACCATTGTAGCGGATTCAATCTTCTTCTTCTTCTTCGCGTGTTAATTAGAAACCAACCCTAGATCGATTTTTGAGCTTGAGGAACGGAAACTCGAGTGATTTTGAATTTTTGAGAGGAGTTTGAAGAGGCGTCGGCGATTCGATGTGTACGCGCGTGGGGTTATGCATCTTCGTTTTGGGCCTGGATTTTAATACAGGCCCGTTAGTTATACCTGACTAACTTTCGAGTTCCAAGATTTTACAAAGAAATATCTATACAATCTTTTTGAGGTACCCTCCTATTCAACAGTATTTACAATTCTCTACTACAGAAATATTTAGACTATTATTTTATTTGTTTTTTTATTTTCTTTATAATATCCCCTATATATTAAAAGAGAAACATTTGAAAAATTATAACCTCAGTTTTGTAATAATTAAAAAAGACCTCATGCTTAGGTGTCACTCAATTAGGTAGTCAATTACATTCAATTGAAGAATAAGTAGGTCCATATTCAATTTTTATATGTCGCTAGATATATCCGTTGCTCAAACTATATGATATGATGATATGTTATGATATTTACGATAGAAGCATTTATGATTGTTCCGCTATATATAAAGACTATTTTATTTTCTTTCCTTAAATAAAACCTACAGAATTACCATAAATAACTAATATATATATATATATATATATATATATGGCAATTAATGATTCTAATAATAATATTTGATAACAATTTATATCTCCTCCGTCATTTTTTCTTTAATTTTATATTATTAAAATAAATTAAACAAACAAATTAGCTATAAAATTAAACTTTAGATTTTTTCATATATAATATATTTTGAAGTTTACAAAACGAGAATAATGACTAAAACTATTAAAATTATTATGTTAAAAATTAATGATCAATAGTTTAACATTTTTCTTATAAAAAGATACACATGATTTTTAAACCATATGAGTAAAAAGTATCATTCAACAATAAAACAAAAATATATATAGATTAAACTATATACCATATAAGATTACATAAATATTTTAATTTCAAAAATTTCAATAAATTTTCAAGAACATTTATAAATTATAAACTTATTAATTTATTACATTGAAAAATATTGTTATCAAAGATTTAAATATCTTCATTCTTTTTTTTTTAATTTTATATTATTAGAAGATATTAAACAATCGATAATATGTTTTTTTGTATATACCATACAAACCGAATGAATGTGATTTTATAAAAACTATAGGATTTGGATATGGTTTGATTTATGACCGATTACACTGAAACATATAAATATGTATATATTTATATTGACGCATAAATATCTATTTGATACATGAGTTGAGCTATAATTACAATTTCTAAATCACTTGAATCATTTGAACTATAATTAACTAACAATTTACTGCAACTGAGGCTTCTTATTTTCTTAATTTTTTTGATCTTTTTGCTTTATTTTAACTGTAACTAAATCGAAGTAAAGATTATAAATTTGATGACAAAAATTAGTTGAAATTCCTTACGATTTTTTTTATCTTTAAACAAACATAGTTGTGTTCAACCGATAGTATATAGACCAAATCGAACTGAAGTAAATGTGGATTTAGAGTAGTATTTAAATTTTAATAAACAAAATACCAAAAAATCGAACCGAACGAAAACCCGATATCCGGATTGAACACTCCTAATCCAAATGAACCAAACTATTGTTTCATTTTCCAAAACATAATAAAAATAACAACTTCATTCCGTGTAAGGCGCGGGTCTTATCCTAGTATCTTATTAAAACACAATCATTACAACTTCTAAATACATTTTTAAGTTGGACTTCAAATTATTAATCTATAGTCTAATAAATTTTTATTGTTAGTCTAATATAATCTTTACGTAGTTGATTATATTTCGTTATTGTTTATGAAGTTAAGTATTATTTAGGAAGTTAGTGATGATTCGGTATTTTATAATTATTTGGAACATAATTATAATTTAGCTTCTTATTCTTTACAAAATTCCTCAGTATATTCTTATTCTTTTTAAACAGAATATCTCGGTTACATTTAAAGCTCTTGATTTGGTATTAATTATAAAGCACAATTCGATAGATATATACAATTTTTTATGGAATTATCCATTCTCCAAGTCAACCTACTTTGCATAAAATATCACTTAGATACTAAATCTCTTGATTTGATATTAATTATAAACAATTAATTGGTTTTCTGAATTGTTGGAAAGTATATTTGTTTTGACGCCCTATCTAAAATATGAGGTGTATATATAGTTCTTCTCATATTCATCATTCGACATTCACTATCACCTCCAATAAAAAAATGACAAAATCAATCACTTTTGTATTCCTTAACGGTGTTAAACCTTATAGAGATAATTGACAAATTCGCGTTAAGATTCTTCATTGTTGGGAACAAAACACCAATTCTGGAGACGACATATTAGAGTTGGTCTTCGCTGACGAAAATATAAGTTAGAGAAGTTTGATTTCTTTTAAAAAAAATCATTTTCTAAACAATGGTGTAAAGATTACAGCATTTTGTAAAAGAAATCAAACTTCTGTAACTTACAGGTTATGATTTGATCATCTTCGTTTTCTTTAGTTTTATCCTCTGAACTAAATATTTGTCTTCTTTTTTTGGACGAACTAAACATTTGTCTTTTCTATAAATCTCAGGTAAATTCATTATCTTCACATTTCATATTTATTTTCTAGGTTAGATCTAATCAGAATCATTTTAATGTCAGATATTTATTTCAATGGAACAGCTATGGAAAAAATAGTCGCTACAAGAATCCAAATTATTTGATATCAACCTTCAAACACTGGATTGTATTGATAAGTTTTCTTGACTTCTATTTTCAATTTAATAGTATTATAACGTAAACAACAAATAAACAAGAACCAATGTTTATTTGTTAAATATTTATATTTTTATCTAACATATATTTTATATTTAAATATTTGTTATAGAACATGTCATTCAAAAAGTTGTTGCAAAATCAACTGACGAGATATCTTCTCACATAATTTCATGTATTTAATATTTAATTTTTATAGTGAAATCTGTCAATCAAAATTGTGGTACAATCCAGTCAAGAATTATTCTTCTTTACCTTTACCAACAAGATATTCCAAAAATGATCTTACCTTTTAACTATAATATTTTTGAAAATTTATTAAAAAATATTGCAAACTTTCTCGTGAAAACTATGTCATTTAGAAACGTTTACCAATTTACTATTTATAAGACATTAACAGCAAAGAAACGAAATCACTAGATTTTTATAATGTTATTTTTCTGCTTTGGATTTAGTAAATTTATTTTATTTTAGAATGTTAATATTGATATATATACACATATTTTTTTTGTTTTCTCATTCTGGTTTTGGTTTATGTGCAGATGATCTATCATAATGCTTCCTCTTTTGAAGCCACATATAATATCATCATTCTTCATTTTCTTTTATTTTTTATCTTTAATAGTTATCTTTTTTTGTTATTAATCTCAGGTTAATTCATTATCTTCACATTTCATATTTATTTCTAGGTTAGATTTGGGACAGTTGTCTTAATGTAAATCATTATCTTAGCAAATTAATATGATTTGATAACAAAAATATATCAGAAACTTTCTAATTATATATTGATGTTCCTAAGAATATTTTAAATTTATTTTGTTACTCAATAAAATAATTGTTAAATATTAAACCCACATTTTAAAAAGTACAAAAATCTATATTAAATGAATAAATTGGTAGCTCTGTATCCATATGAACAACGAAAGATGATTGTATTCTGGTACTGCGTGCTAGACTATCCGCCAGTGAGTTCAATGTTCTTGATATTTAGATAACTGCCGAGCTAGTGAAACTCCCTTAAAGCGTCTTGATATCTTGTAAATAATTTGCAAATGCTGGTCATTCTTTTGGTTTCGAAACCATCTTCACCAATTGAATACAACATGTTGCAAAAGTAACATGATATTGACGTAAATTCTTCATACTCTCTATTCTCCAAATAAATGCTTCCACTTCAGAGTGAAGGGATGATAGACTGGATCTAACATTTCTGGCTCCCATTAAACTCACAAAATCTTCGAATGTGCTATACCAATCTTGATCATCAAACACATCCTTCTCTTTCTATGAACTTTCGACAAAACACCAGTACCCTGGTATGACCGGTAAAGTCGTGATTAGCCCTTGCTGTATTTCATTCGGGAGAAGCAAAACGTCTCTGAAATTCAAGTCAATCTCTCTTTCAGTCTTTTTTATATATTTTCATTTTTTAATTGCGTTAAGAGCTTGAGTGATGTATGTTTTAAGTTAACAGTACATGTAATATTCGGTGTATCTTTTATTTTTGTAGACTATTTGGTGCATCAGCAGCATTTTACGCCATTCATGTTTAAGTTCATTAATTTTTGTAAAGTATAAAGTAATCATTTATTTTTTTTATTTAGTTTAATTTCTAATCTGATTGTATTTAAACAAGTTTAATTTAATAAAATTTTGTATTTCATTTTCCAAAATAATAATTTTTATATTAGAAATAATAATAAAAAAAATTATTCTGCTCAAACTACTCCAAGTATGTAGTAAAAGTTGGCTATTTTTCGGATGATGACACCATATTCACTAGTTGAGAACAGTTAATTGCAAAAATTACATCTGAGAAATTTAGGATACTCGTACATTCCGTAAATAATATCAAAACTTCACATTTAGTATGTAAAATGGATAATATTTTTTGGAGATTCATTCCCCTCCATAATCTTCTCATCGGAATTAATAGTTCTACAAAACCACCTTTGTCCTATAAACCTATCTTGTTCTCTCCACAGTCCACAGACCATTGACAAAACAAATTATGGAATTTCCTAATGATTGCCAATCAAATGTTGGCAGGGCCGACTGATGCCTTTCGAAAAACGTGAGTTAAGCATTTGTCCAGCCTCCACTTCCGCTATCTGATGCATTTCTTAACCAGTCATTTCTATGCCTAGTTATACCAAATTTATTAATGAAATTTGATTAATCATATACGAAAACAAAATTAGTTAATTGTGGAATGAGTTTTTCTTCATCCTTTTTAGTTTCAAAATCTTGAAATTTTGGATGCATTCAG